ATATCAGAGCGAAGGGGCAGTTTGCGAAAAGCTGAAGTAATGAGCTAGTATGCCATGAATAATGTTATTGTTGCGTGTAGTACATAGAAGGAGCAATAATGAGTAGTCATAGACATAAGAAAAGTGCAATCCTTTGTAATAAATTTGTCGGGCACCACATCAGGATTTTAAAGCTAGACATTTTCGTTCCATTTGAGAAAAAAACGATGTAATTTTTTTTAAATTTGGGAAGTCGCTTATCTTATCTTCGATACTATCCAAAGTGGTAACACAATAAATCTGAGCTAAGAAATGCGGGAGTGTTGCACTCCCTTCAGTCATGTCCCAAAGAACCTCGTTTTCTTCGTTATTGAGTTTGATAAAAAGTTGTAAAACACTTCTCCGAAACCCTTTGCTTATTCTCCACTCCTAGATTTAACTTTTCAATGAGCTCCTTATTGTGGATTGACTATCCTTTTGTAGGATCTCTTGCTTCTTTTTGTTTTAATGTTTCCTAAATTACGGTTGAAAAGCTTTGGAGTGATGTCGACAACAATGGCTACAGATTAGAAAAAGCAGTAGAGGAAACTTGTTTGAATGGAAACCTTGTTTGGTGCTTTGGTGTGCCTCTTAGAGGCTTCAAAATCCTATTGACAAAACTTAGTTTATTTAGCCCACAAGTCAACCGGGTAATGAAAATCCTTTGTGAAAATGGCGATGGAACGTGCCATGTTTTGGCATCAGAACACCGCCTGTTCCTACCCTCTTTGGCGTAAATTCTAAAAATTTACTTGAAAGGGAAAAATACTTGAAAGTGGTAGTTCAAAAAGACTGAAATTTGCCTTCCCTGCCTGTGAATGTTTCTCTGGAGGAGGTTTCGGGAATTTTTCTCTGCCAGAATTGACCTATGTGGTTTGACAATGATTGCTCTAAACATCATCAAACCTGGAAGAAGCAAAGAATGATTCTTTTACAAAGACACCTTTTTCCAATGTATCCTTTAATTTGCTGTTTTGGTGAAAGTTGAACTCCTAAGCATTATAACCCAGGTGCTGCCAGTCACTTTGATCAGGAAAAAATCTCTATAAATTTCTACAGAGAAATGGTTTGCAGTTTGCAATGCAGGTTTAGGGTCTTCGTTTCAACTTATATTTAACCAGTGCTTCACCTCTCCTTCGGAGAGGCTCGCACTGGCGCTTTGGAGAGCTAGGTTAACACTTTGAGAAAATGTTGAACTTAATCCAGTAAGCCATCATATGCTCGCCTCTTCTGAATTTGAAAGTTGGTCTTACCTTTCAACGTCTTATTGAAGAAGAAAGACGCAGACGCCTTTTATCCCGACCGCAAAGCCC